CCAGTATAATTTCATATCTCGAAAGCAATATTAGCAATGAACATGCAAAATGATGATCACATGGGACCTCCATACACAATTGATAGGAATTCAGGGGAATTCCGGAGGAATTCCGGTTATTTTCTGAGATTCTATATGGAATATTCATCTCCGAGATGATAAACAACTTTTTTCAGGTATCCATATATGTATAATGATTCGAATCAACGAAATTTGCGTGTCTTGTCTATAAAGCGATTCTTTCATTTTGCAGCATGAGCCGTATATGGGCGAATGCTGTAAATCATACGAGTGAGAAATTTACAGTCCGTGCCAGTTATACACTATACTTTTTCTACGGCTGTATAACAGATAGCAAAGGAATTTTTGATTACTGAAAATGGACATCAATTTGAACAATTCGATGAATGAGTTACTGAATAATTTCTTAATTCAATTGTTCTAGTAAATATTTAATTAGGTGCTCATTCCACATCGAGTTCCATATACATTATGTATTTATTTGTTGCTATCAGGTACCTAAGTCTCGTAGTTTGTTCGTAAATTAGAATTTATAAAAAAATAAGGAATTTAATGCGCTCATAAAATACATTTGAAAATTCATAAGCTTGAGTCTTATCTCCAAAATCATACCCCGAAAATAAAATGTGAGTGCGCCACTGGATTCTGCGTAGAATTTTCAATGGGATAAGATTTTAATTTGACAATTTCGTTGAGGAACTTCGTAGGTATAGAGGGGGTCCAGAAAGTATGAATTTGAACAGTGATGCAAAATCTGAGATATCTCGCAATAGCATCGAAAACGGGACACACTGTACACATTTTTCCTCAGTGGCCAACCCCTCGGTAATGAAGAACCCTATATGATTATTGAAGGAAATTATTATGGAACTCATATTTTGTTCATTCCTTTATTTTCTGTAGCGCACGAAAGTGAATCTCTATTGCTTTCATTGAACATCGTGCTCACCCAAGAAGGATAGAGAAAGAATGCAGGTATTTTTTCACTTTCAATCTCTCGTTACTCATATTATTTACTGTTCGCACCCAAAACTGAACGATTTGAAATAATAGAATCTATCAATATGGAGGGTGTCCCGAAATTAGCCTGCGAAACTTCACCAGCGGCTTCTTCAACCAAAAATAGGAAAAAAGTTCTAATGAACAAGAGTCGATAAATGTCTCCTAAGGGAGCTACGGTCCCTTGAAAACGGGTTCCTGAAGATGATATTCCTTGAATATTTACGAAACGCCACGTGATAAAATGATGAAATTCTGAACAAGAACCTAAACTTTACATGATCAATTATGGTGAACATTAAATCATTTCAAAGTTTCATTCAGGAGTGTATATTACAAGGCGGAACTACATTAAATATTGCCCAAACCTTTTCGTATGCATATTTGTTGACAATTTAATCTCGGATTATCAAAATCCACACCATTTCACAAGAGGAGGTGCTCTTGTTCCGCATCGATCAGATGTATTATTTTCGAGTGAAATCGATTCAAAAATATTGATTCTCTCACATCTTATGCATAAAGTTGCAAATTTTCAAATCATAGTGGCTATACTAAAGTCAAGTACTTTCTTTTTATCAAACAATCCCATAAAAGCGCAAAAAATAGGAAAATGATGATGAAAAAACTACTTCAATTTTTTTGCATTCTTTTTCATTTCCACTACGCCTCATTGCAATGTTACGCATAATATCTGAGATGTAACAATATTTTCAAATCTACTCGATAATAATACATCTGATGATCGTCACGAAACATGAGTACCTTTTTTCTGTAAAGATGTGTGGAATTTCATAATCCAAGATTAAATTGTCGAAAAATATACATTCCATGAATTTTTTAGCAATATTTTATGAAGTCCCACACTGTATTATATACAGTCCTGATTGAAATTTTACAATGATCTAATGTTCACCACAATTGGGCATGGAAAGTTTAGTTCTTGTACTAAATTGCATATTTTTATCACATGGAGTTTCGGTAATACTCACGAAATATTATCTTCAGTAGCATCTTTAGGAGACATTTATTCTCGACCAATGTTCATCGGGAGTATTCTTTCTATTTTTGGTCGTGCTGAAAGCCGCTGGTGAAGTTTGGCAGCCTAATTTTGGGACACCCTGTATAAACCATTGGTGAAAAAATTCAGCTGAGAGGGAGCTAAACATCTTGGGGTCATTCTTGATCATATAATATTTACTCGTACGTTTGAAGAACATAGCCTTCTGCGAAGAGCACATATTCTCCAGGTATTCAGGGGTCCACAATGGCAATATAAATTATCTGAACCATTTGCCAGTCTCGTTGACAACAAACTTTTTGGGTTGTGAATGATTAGTATTTTTGATAATAATTGTTGTTGCTGCCTCATTATTTTTCCAGATACATTTATTGGGTCGAATTTCGAAGTGGCTCTGTTCGATATACACCTAACTATGGTAGTCAGTTTACTTCAGTATAAGTGCTGAGAATGATGATTTTATGTTTTATATGTGAATTTAATGAAATAGGTACATGAAAACTGCATGATTTTGAAACAAGTGGAAAATAGTATCAAGGGTAAGTACAAACAATGGTGTACAGAATTATGAAATATGAACTTACCTCTAATTCCAATAATGGCATTTTGAATACACCTCGCAGATAACATTTCAGAAACTTTACAAATGGAATTTCCACGCTGTTTCTGAGAATTTTTGTGGATATCTTATCTTTTTTGTGAAGTACTCATGAGTACTGTAGATTTCCATCAAGCAATGGCTAAGTCAATTCAAAATATAAATAGACTATAATGCCACATTATAAAAAAATATGTAGCACTCACCAGATCAAATAAGGATATAAAAAAAGCGCATGAAATTAAGCAGTATTATCTACATTTATTTGAGTGAGCGTTCAATTTTCACCACCTGTTCATAAAACATGAGCCTCGCAAGGAAGTATGAAATTCGCACTATTTGTTCCACCCTGAGTTCTGATTGGCCACCATTAGTCACGTGATATTCATCAAGTCTGATTCTCTGAGAAGTGTTCAACACAGTAGACGAGTTAGTAACGTTGTTATAATCAATTTTTTGAACCACTCCATCAGTATTTCTGCCTTCTATACAGGGTGTAAATTTGAAAACTTTCAATGCGAATATCTCGCGAAATAAAAAAGTTAGAAAAACACCGCTTGGCAAAAATGCTAAAGAGTTAAGGGGAACTAGAACCACCATATTTCAGTGAAGGGATGAGTCACCCTGTCAGCGCAACACACCCCAACTTTGAAATGTCAAATGGCACTACCTCTTTTGTGATACCTCAAATGAACGGTCTTAGTCAGTAGTATTCACCTGTACAAGACTTTTTTTCCACCCACTACAGGGTGTACGAAAAACATTAATTCGAGGGTCTCAATTTGAAAACTTTCAATGCGAATATCTCGCTTAATAAAACAGTTAGGAAAACGCCGTTTGGCACAAATGCTACAGAGTTAGAAGGAACTAGAACCACCATACTTCAGTAAAGGGATGAGTCTCCCCGTCGGCGCGACACACTCCATCTTTGAAATGTCGAATGGCACTACCTCTTTTGTGATACCTCAAATGAACGGTCTCAGTCAGTAGTATTCACCTGTACAAGACTTATTTTCCACCCACAACAGGATGAACGGAAAACATAAAGTCGAATAAAATAAAATGCAGAATGCCGATATATTCCAAGAGATGTGTTCCAAAATGTTAGAATGGCATTTGAACATCGATTTTACTATTGCTTACAACAGAAAGGAATTCATATTGAACATCTGATCAAATAAAATATCCTTTTAACACAATTCATTTTATTTTATTCGACTTTATATTTTTCGTACACCCTGTAGTGGGTGGAAAAAAAGTCTTGTACAGGTGAATACTACTGAGACTGTTCATTTGAGGCATCACAAAAAGGTAGTGCCATTTGACATTTCAAAGTTGGGGTGTGTCGCGCCGACGGGGTGACTCATCCCTTGACCGAAATATGGTGGTTCTAGTTCCCCTTAACTCTTTAGCATTTTTGCCAAACGGCGTTTTTCTAACTTTCTTCTTTCGCGAGATATTCGCATTGGAAGTTTTCAAATTTACACCCTGTATATTTTATATTTTATTATAACTAAATCGGAGATTCCAATGGTGGCCCTCGAATATAATTACCCAATATAGCAGTGAATGAAGCCTAGCAACGTTCATCTTCTCTTATATCAGGATTTTCAGGTTTAGAGGCTCCTGAGAGCGGCATCCAAATGAATTTATCAGTTTTTCATATATTTTCAATGAAAATACGATACAGTTTATTATTGCTATAGGCTTGTTCGACTCATTTTACTAGATATATATAGATAATCTTAGTTTCGAGTGTTATTTGATTTCTCAATATAGATATTCCTATAATGGACGAAATTTAGGGAGTGGTACTGTATTTCACCTACAACATAAAACAATGATTATTTAATCGAAAATAATTGCTATTGAATTGAATTAACGATTCATTAGGAATTCGTATAACAAAAGCGACTGTTGCAAGGGTTGGGTGTATAATTGTGAATCTATTGTGTCCTCGGTTGTCACTCATTCTGCGATCTGTCAACTTTGACGTGTTCATTTCAATTTGAGATAAGAATTTTGCAAGATGAATTCCGATTACGAAAGTGTAGATTGAGATCCAATTTCTTTTTCTGAATAATCAACTGGATATTATTGTTTTACTGCACCGCACTAGTGTTGTAAAGAAGAACTTTACCGCACTATGGCGGAAATGATTACAGAGATATAGGGTGTTCAAAATCAATATTTTTCAACTACAGGATTTTTTTGTGTTGAAACTTTTCATTATATTGTTGAATCAATATCTAACAAATATTTAGTCAAGATTAGGAATGATTTATGTGCATTCTATCATAATAGTCGTACAGGTGAACCTTTATTATGAAAACATCTCACAGTTTTACTTTTTTTGACATGCATGGTGTAATTGCGAAATCAATTGCCAACAATTATGAAATAGGACCAGAAGTACCCTAGGTCGACCCTCCATGAAACTTTTGAATTTCCTTCACATTTTCGTATCCCGTTTCAGGAAAGATAATAAAAAAACAATATCCTGATAAGTCTTTTCTAGAGGCTGTAGCACCCTTATTGAGAGGCATTTTTTGACAGATAATAATTGAACTTTTTCTTCAATTTTTGGTCGAGAAATACATCACTTCCAAATATTGCAACGTTATTTTGGGACACTCTGTATAGAAGATTCATCAGGCGATTATGATCGGAAGATATAAATCACGCTATGAAGATATCAATATGATAATAATGTATATTTTTTTATCTGATTGATATAACACCACCGCCTTTATTCAAGGGTAAGCTTGTTTTTTGGGATACTTATCATCTATCATCAATTATAACACGTGGCATGTGAATAAAGGAAGATAATTCCACGTGCTTGAAAATGTCAGATAAATTTGATGCAGCCTATTTTTCAGATACGGATTCAATATATAAAACAAGTACACGAAATCAAGGAAAACTATTTTGTTAAAAAATTGGTAATACCTTTGTGGAATATGAGAGCTGTTATTCATTATGCGGTTATTGTCATTGTTCTCTTCAGTGAAGCGTAAGTTATTGAATTCAACTAGAAACTCAACTGATGACATAGTTATATAAATTGATTTTTAGAAGCAGTTATATAATGCGCGTATCGTATCCAAGAAGTTATGCATACCTATAACACAATGCATTCCATTCAAAATGAGCCATCCTGAATAACTAAAAAATTCTAAAACATATCATAATATATATATATATAGTCAAGCCAGTTTATAGTCAATATTTGATAACAAGATGATTAAGGAATATGAAGAAACTCAAATAAGATCAGGAAAAAAGAAAGAAATTTGATTCATCACTCGTGAATCGATGTGATCTGATGTTCTCTGATGTTTCTTCAAATTTAAGTTTCTGTGCTTTCTGCTCTATATATGTGCCCTGCTGTTGTGTTCGTGACGAATCGGTGTAGACGAAGAATAATATATTTCATTTCACTGTATATAATATGAATGTGTTCACCTGATTGTGTACCTCTTCATTAGTAACTAAAATAAAAAAAAAAATTTCTAAATAAGTATAGGTGATTATCTATTTTGTTTTTTTCAACTATCTGACTCATGATATTGGTCAAATATATAGGCAGTTGTTTCAAAGGTAGCTCCCACTAAGCGAATTTGGATGCTATGTTGATGCAAGGTTGTAGCAATTACTAAAACGGACGTTCAGCAATATTGCAAATACAAATTTGTGAGTGTAACGTTCCATCAATGTAACAGCAACATGTATTATTGCTGCAACGCCACATTATCAAACTTCACCTTTGCAATATTGCTGAACGTCCGTTTCAAAAATTGCCTCAACATTGCATCAACATAGCTTTCAACTTTGCTTTGTGGGAGGAGAAGTTCTGCTGTTCAATTTAAATGAATTTGACCTTGAATAATGAAAAAAAAGGCATGCGGCGCTTTTCCATTTGGTTATTCTCTTAAAACTACTCAATACTGGATGTACTCTTTTTTCATTTTCGAAATCTGGTCACCCTATCCAGGTAGCTAAACAGATCATCCTCTATTTTCTCGAGACATCAGATTGTCCTGACTTTTGAAATAATAATAATTTTCAGATTGATCTTCCATTCCGTCATACATTTTTAATATCAACAAACTTTGATATTGGTACATGAATATGATAAACAGATAGATAGATAGATTTATTTGTTTCAAAAACATACAGTTTGAGCAAAAAACGTCAAAAGTACATGATATAAATATCTTAGGTATAAAACGAACAAAATAATATACAAGATTTCACAGGTACATAAACATAAATAAATACAATAAATTGTAGCTCCCGAACTATATACTTCAGACCTCAAGTATATTTAAACATTTTCGAAATGTGCTCAAGGAAAATTACTTACAAATTCATGTCAAAATGGTACCCAACAATCATATTGAAAATCATCGTAACAAAAGTTATTCGTAGCTGGTTTTATGTGACATATTCTAGCAGAAAGAGAGCACCGCGATGAAATTCGATATTTCATACGGAATCAATATTTGATAATATTCTTTCAATACGGTGAATTTGCAATGCTTTTTTTGAAGGATAACTGAAGATGTGCTCAACAACAGGAGATTTCCAGATGACTTTTTATTTGGAGTAGCAACTGCTTCTTATCAAGTAGAGGGTGAGTTTGGATACCAATTGAAATCAATTTCTATATAAAATATTATAATTGCTTTGAGATTTCTATACTGAGCAACCACTAATCAAGTAAACCAACTGTAGATAAATTATATGAATGTTGATATTTCGAAAATTTCAAACATTAGAACCATATTTAACCATTATACAATATTACAGAAACCGTTACTTGATTTTTCATCAGGATATAACAACTTCTGTTTATAAGAAAAAAGTTAGACCAAGAAAGGTGAAGCCTTTAAAAAGTTGAATTATATACATAAACATCCAAATAAATTTTATTGTAGAATTTTCTCCAATAATAAAAATATAGTTCCTGCTGATGATGAACTATACATATATACAGAGAAGTGTACAAAAAATGGCCAGGATTGTAACTTTTGAATTATCCTGGATAGGGTTTTGGAAATTGGTGGTAGCAAGTATACCAAATTGGTCATTAATAGATGGAACCATTTTTCTTCGATCACTTCCAGATTCACCGGAAACGACCCTAACTTTTGATTTTTAAATGCGGAACACCCTGTATTGTATTCCATAATCGGTTAGGGATTATCATGACGAATACAACGATGCCGGGTTTGATAGGGTTATTTCAAACGATTACAAATATTTGTTCAGAGTTTCCATATGCTCAATGGGTGTGACTTCGCAATATCAAAACTTCTTTCTCTGTCACACTCATTAAACATATGGAAACTTAGAACGCGAATATCTACGTAATCATTTGAGATAACCCTATAAAACCCGGTATCGATGAATTCGTTAAAACAATCCCTAACCGATTATGGAATGCATTACTGGAAAATTTCCGGACCTGACACCATTGGATTTTTTCTGAGGATTATTGTGGTGCAAAATGATTACAAATAAAGACGCATCAACGTAATTATTGACACATCAGTGGAATAATACAAATTTTATTGAGATGTCCTGATTTCAATTGGTTGTCAGTGTCTTCTCACTATGATCCGCTATGATCTCACTCATACATAAATTGCTGAACATTGGCTGACGTGGGACGGTGCACTGAGAGGAGTTATCTGTTGTAAATACTCAAAGATCACTATACCATACCAAGCGTTGTGGTTGAATAGGTGCCAGTCATTACATTCATCAAATAAAACCACTACAAAATAGTAAATGATTGAGGCAATATGACATACTGAAGCACCAGTTATTAGGAACCGTACCTGTACGGTTATTATCCACCACTACAAATGAGTGAATAATACTATACAGCTCGTCGATTCGTATTTACCACTACAAACAATACATTTATACTCTATTTATTTAATTCATATTTACCACTACAAACTAGTGATTTCTACTTATAGATTCGTTCATTTTTGTCTGTTCAATTTTGTCTGTTCAAACTCTGAATCAATATTTTTCTACCGCCGTCAGGGACATAATTATTTGGAGAAAAAACTGGGAAATTTCACAGAATTCAATAATTTGCAGGTATGTTATGATAATTAGGTAGGTAGTAGACATAGTTATCTGATGAGTATATGATTGAAGTTGAGAATGAGAGGAAAATCGAATTATTGTGTAAATTTGACTTTTGTGTGCAACCACATTGAGATTATATCGTTCTCCTCAATAACGCGTGCAACGTTCCCCTGCCAATTCAGTTTTAAGATGAAACGAATAGGTATTTTACTAACTGTTGAACACCGGTAAGAACGCTTGGAGATACCACTATCAGGTACAGTTCACACTTCACAGTACCACAGTTTGTAGGAAAGTAGGTATACCTACTTACACTATACACATGCACTGCAAAGGAAAACTCCATGGGCCAATGAAATTTATTTCATTCATAATTCACGAGACGAACGCAACGAAAGATGAACTATGAACTGATGAAAAGACCACGCCAACGCCAAACCACCTTTATTGAAAAAAACGAACGTCGACGATCGGCTTCGTGATTTCGGCATATTACTCTCTGATGTGGTAGATTTGTACATCACAAAAAGTAAACCTATTATTATTACCGTACGCACTAATACGTAGTGGTAAATAGGAATATCAGGGGAGCAACATTCAACACAATCCTAATACCACTACATAAGAGATATTTATTAATAGTAGAGTGCCAAACGAACCGAAAAGCGGCGTTCACAACCAAACTTTTTACGTTTTGCTTTTTACGTTTCGTATTCTGATTGGTGAAGCAAAATCTATAATTGAAATGACGCAAAAAGCTGAAAATATTCAGCTTTTTGCGTTGCAAGAAGCCATCGTCTGTGAAAATAGTGAAAATAGACGAATAATATGAAACATTCTGTAATAATATGGAAGTTATGATGTTTTCATGATTTTTTCGTGAATCCACAGAATAGTAGATATGTATACTGTTCAATTCATTATTTTCTTGTTGAAGATTGATTTTTTACTTCAAATATTGAATAAGGATCAATTTTTATCACCGCCAGTTCTATCAATTCAATATTATTAATTATCTGATCAATATTATTGTTATGATTATTTACTTCATTTCGGTATGAAAAACATATAACAAAACCAAGGCAACTGAGCCATAAAAAGTCACGATTTTGTTGTTGTTGTGAATGACATTAGCTCACGTTTAATTTCAGATTCTGCTTCACCAATCAGAATACGAAACGTAAAAAGCAAAACGTAAAAAGTTTGGTTGTGAACTCCGCTTAAGTCGCTTAGATCAAAAGTTGGTGGGAAATCGGAGGTAAAAAGCTGTGACATGGCTAGAATTGTTACCTACCGTCTCCAGATCATGGATCCACTTGTCGTCAAAAAATCGTCCTGTGCGTTTGGGGGGTAGGGGGTAATTTATAAAAAAAATAAGGATTTTTTTTTATTCGTGGAAAATATTGATGGGTTCCAGAACTTCCACCCTGTCGAATCTTGATTTCGTGTGACAAGTAGAACAAATTATAGAAAATTTTGAAATTCACCAATTACATTACGATATATGAGAAAATCATATTTCAAACGGCTATAACTCGAAACTTGTAAATTTTCGTTAAATTGCTTTTCATATACCTCGCATTATCTCAGTAACTATAACGTTTATCAAAAAAATACTCGAAATATTGTCGATGCGTCTATGTTTCAAGATGCGAAGGGTTCTTCGATTTTGGAAATCGAAGCATAAATAAGGAAGATATTGGGAAAATCATAATCCAATGCAGGTAGTACGAAGGACGGCGACTCGCCGCTTTCATACCCCGATTCTCCCCGCAACGCCCGCAGCCCTCGTAGTACGATCACCGTAAATATGAAATACTGAGTGTTACAGAATAGTACGATCTTGGAATTCACGGGAGAAATGGAATTGATCTCTATTTTCCAAGTTAACAGAAATTTATTTTAACTTGCTGTTTGATTGAAAGTGCCCTCCATTTATTTTATGAATGATTCTATCTCGAAAGTACATTTATTATCCATCAGAGTAAAAAGTTCAACCATCTCATTTATTAACAAATTGACAAATATTGAAACAAAACATGATGCATATAATATTGAACTATAAATAAGATATCCTTGTGGAAACTTGAAAAAAACATTATTTGATACCTATCGAATTGCGAAGTTGTAAATACACGTAAATACGATACAGTGTCCACAAGAACACAAAGCTACGATAATTTTTTTCCATCATGTCTCTTGATGAATCATTATTCCCAAACCAACGTGTTTCGGTGTGAGTTTTTTGAATTTCGAATTAGCGAGTATTATACCTTGACATCAGATACTGAATACCTTTGAATCAACTGAATCAATAACTTTATCGTGTATAAGGCAACTAATTTAAAAAAAGTTTTTTTGGTATCATATCCTTGTAAGCCTTGACATCCATATTTTTGAGTTGTTGATAATCTGAAATATCTCTCATAACTTGATAAATATCTCAAAAAAATTTCAATTTGTGTATCTGGGTCATATCTGATGCATATACAAAGTCAGGGGAGTTATCTTCTGTAATTTCACTTTGTTCTTTATATGTGTATGAATCAGATGAAATTTTGTCACTTTTGGAATCACAAATTACGGCTCATTAAAACGTTTTGATTCATTTGATAATTTCTATTTCCTTGTCGTAGTGCTTTCTGATTTCTTCGATAAATTCATTTTACTTAATTTTTCTAGATTTTCTCTCCTCGTTCCTCTGGACGTTTCGGGAACGAATCTGCTCCCGTTCCCAACATAAAAATGCAAAACATTTTTCTTCGGAAGTTGCATTTTCATGTTGAGAACGGGAGCAGATTCGTTGCCGAACCGTCCAAAGAAACGAGGAGAGAGAATCCCAAAAAATCAAGTAAAATGAATGTTTCACCTTCTCGATTAACCTACAGACAGTAATCTTCGATTGAGATCTTCCTACCAGTTTTGCCACCAAGTTCGGCATATTTTTGATATAAACAGTTGAAAGTATACCCTTTTTCATTAGAAAATCTGCATCATCTATTAATTTTATCAGATTATCAAATTCTTTGTCATGTGTGGTATGACAACTTTATTCTCACTCAGTGATCCTCTATAATGTTTCCAATTCGATACAAAGCACTGGTTATGATACTTGACTTCCATGGCAATTAACAATGTTGGTGATCAAATCTAGGTCAAAACTTGACTCTTATTTGAACGTTTTTGGTAGAAAATCTTTTAGACACATCAAAAATACCTTCACATCAATTTCACTATAGAAAGCGTTTTATTCATGACATTATTGTCTCCAGTTTTCAATATTCCTGTGCCAGAAGATCGATCGACCTTTATTTTCATTGAAAATATCATCAATTCTCTGGAGTGCCATATCGATTTGCCTCGTATAGTTTTTTCCGAGATTTTTTCTTATATTCATACAACTTTCAAATGTTTTTATCGATAATTCTGTACAACGAAGGAGTTGACCATCTTCTCCACAAATGAAACATTCTCTCGATGATTCTGTACTCTGCTGGAAAGGAATCTTCAACTTCAAGACATATTCAAGATCAGTGTCTGAATTGCTAGTACTTCCCTTAACTAATCAATACTTATTTAATTATTGAAACAGAGCACACAGTACCAAATATCGAATAATTAATTCACAATAAGTCACCATTAAGTGCAATGGTCAACGCCTCAATGTTGATGTGTATAACGAAAGCGTATGGAACCATGATAGCCTCGCGGGTATTGCGGGGAGAATAGGGGTACGATTGCGGCGTAACGCGATCGTCCGTGGTACCTGCATTGCATTATGATTTTCTCAATATCTTCCTTATTTATGCTTCGATTTTCAGAATCTAAGAACCATTCGCATCTTGAAACATAGGCGCATCGACATTATTCGAAGTATTTTTTTGATAAACGTTGTAGTTACTGAGATAATGCGAGGTATATGAAAAACAATTTAACGAGAATTTACAAGTTTTGAGTTATAGGCGTTTGAAATATGATTCTCTCATATATCGTAATGTAATTAGTAAATTTCAAAATTTTCTATAATTTGTTCTGCTTGTCACACGAAATCAAGATTCAACAGGGTGAAAGTTCTGAAACCCATAAATATTTTCCACGAATAAAAAAAAATCCATATAATTACCCCCTACCCCCCAAACGCACAGGACGATTTTTTGACGACAAGTGGATCCATGATCTGGAGATGGTAGGTAACAATTCTAACCATGTCACAGCTTTTTACCTCCGATTTCCCACGGGGTGAACGATAGGATTCGATTGGCACTCTACTATAATTACTGGATATGGAACATGTTATTTGATGTAGTATTGAATAATTATTTGAACTATTAATATTCAGAGGTAGTATGCAATAGGTTTGTCAAAGTATTGATCACTCAAATAAGTGATATCACGAATATGTGTTGTGTTTGATGAAACTAATTCGAAACCACCATTACATTTAGTTAAACAAATTTTCATTTATGTTCTGTGTGTCAAAATATGATTATATGCCGTATTTCGATCGATTTTTTGAGTGTAGGTGCCTGGAACGAAGATGGTAAAGGTGAAAGTATATGGGACCGTGTCTGCCACACAGTTCCATCCCCAATTACCAACAACGATACTGGAGATATAGCGTGCGACTCATACCACAAATACAAAGAGGATGTTGCTTTACTGGCGGATCTGGGAGTCGACTTCTATAGATTTTCCATTGCTTGGACAAGGATTCTACCAACAGGTGGGTGCCAGTCCAATGAAGGGCCATTATTTTAAGTCTCACCAGTTGGCGCTACTAAAACGTGAAGTCGATGTCAGAGTCTAAAATCGTAAAATTTTGCTGAATATATCAATTCCTACACGAAAAACGCTATTTGACGACAACGTGATTCATTTTGACATCGATGAAAAAGGATTCACCTTTTTTATAGCTGATAAACTGCCGATTCCTTCGATCTAGGATATATTCCGAATTCAATCATTTTATCAAAAAAATCAAAAACCTCATCAAGGAGCTGTGAAACATCCTGTATTCACATGAGCTTATTACATTGGAGTAGTATCATCTTTAAGTTGTTAAAGTCCTGCTACAAAAAATTGAGTCCCTGTATAAAAGTTGCCCCGAGGTCTATTGTTAACATAAGGCGATTGATATTTGGTTCAGGTTTCAACAACAATATCAATCAAGCCGGTTTGAACTACTACAAAAACCTCACCAAGGAGCTACGCGCCAATGGCATAGAACCAGTAGTGACCATGTACCATTGGGATCTTCCCCAATCCCTCCAGGATCTAGGGGGATGGCAAAACGAGTTGATTGTTGACAGTTATGTCGACTACGCTAGGATTTTGTTCAGCGAGCTGGGCGACAGTGTCAAGTACTGGTTGACCTTCAACGAGGCCAAGCAGGTCTGCGACGGAGGATACGGGGTAGCTCAGAAAGCGCCGCTCATCGAATCGCCTGGTATAGGAGAGTATTTGTGCGCGCACAATTTGCTCAAGGCCCATGCCGGGGCTTGGAGATTGTATGATGAAGAGTTTAGGAAAGATCAAGAAGGTAATTTTCTTTTGGAAACATATTGAAGAAATAATCAATATTAATGAGTAAGACTCAGGCTAAAGTATACAATTCATTTATTGAATAGCAACTCGGACGTTTTCGGCACTCGGCCATCATCAGGAGAGTATCTGAAAAGTGAATTTTATTTCTTTTACAGGTACAATATATGTAAAAAATGTGAGGTTAAAAATAATTTGATAATCGGGTCGATTCTGTTTGCAAATAGCAATATGGTTGTAGAGAAAATATTGCTATCATAGAAAGATTCGAAAAAGTGGAATTCTTATCATCGATTTTTGGCAATATGATCTGTCAATTTCAATGACATCTGGTCAGCTTTCTTGCTATCTCGCGGCAACATCAGTTTTGTGCTTGCTATCGTATAACAAGGTAGTGGATTCTTTGTTTTTGCACTACAAATTCTTCCAACTGTATGAAAATTCAGAAAATAGTGGATTAAAAACATATGAGAATTCAGTTGTGTCACTGATGACTACTCGAAAACCTTTCCTCAAAGTTTCAATTCGTAGAAGAATTATTGAAAAACTTAGAATGGTGATTGCAAACATATAGGATAGGTTCACAACTGTGACCAACTATACTTGAAAACCTTTTCTTGAAGTTCCAATTTGTAGAGGAAATATGAGACAACAATTTCGGCATATCAGAGAAATTTCAGTTGCCTGATGGATAGTTTATCAAGCTATTTTGCTAGAATATTAAAAAAAAAAATCACGATTTGTTTCATCCGGCTTTTAGTTAGTTAGTTTTCTCATTTCGGGAAGATGATTGATTACTTGCCCCAGTCGCACAACGACGACCAGATTCAGCAAATACAAAATCTCTCGATTTGAACAATATAATTTTGTGAAATGTCAGTGCAGGACTGGCTATTTTGAGAGGTTAGATAATCATGAACTCTTCTTCTTCATGAAATAATAGCAAAATCGATACCTAACACTTGAACAATGAGTTGAATACAGTGTTGTCAGCTCAAAAATTCCCAATTATTCAACAATATTGCTATCACTTGAACTTATAACCAGTCTTGCAGTTACTTTGCAAACAGAATACAGAACTTCATAGCAATATTGTTATATGTTATGATCATAACAATATTATTATCTTAGCAATGTTATAACAAGATCCGAACAGAATCGACCCGAATGTCAGAAGAAAATCGTTGAATAAAACAAAAACTCACTTGTCATATAGTCTTTGGATAAATCCAAAAACATCTTATGAAGTAACCAATGTTGATTAATATATTTACATTGTATCAAATGCTTATCTTCTGCAAGACTATATGACAAGCAAGTTTTTGTTTTATTCGACGTTTTTTTCTGACCTCATCAAATTATTTCTGACCCTACATTTTTTACAGATATTGTACATGTTGAAGAAAAAAAAACACTTCTCTCCTGATGATGGCCTAGTGCCGAAAACGTTCGAGTTGCTATTCTATGAATAAATTGTATACTATAGCCTAAGTGTTTGGGATCACACGTTAAAAGGTAAGGCCCCCGTCATTCCATACAAGACTTTCGAAGACTTCTGAGGGTTGCTCGTAAGGGGGCAATCGAATGACGGATAGAACAATTTTAGAACAATTTTTAGTCTTACTCATTAATATTGATTATCATACTAAGTATACACAACCATTTCTCTAACCGATATTGAAGAAAATCTATGGCCGAAGTCTGCACGTTAGTTGAAAGAATCTTATAATAAAATCAATTATTGTCAATACCTATGACATTTCTAATCCACAAAAATAAAAATCTGGACACGAAAATTACAAAATTAAGTTTGACTAATCAGGACGACAGATAAATAAGAGTAGCCATATTATTTTTGTGAACATTGGAAAAGTGTACAAGCATATTATCTAAACTGCTTTCCTAAGTTTATCTAGTCAATATTGAAAAAATGTCTGAAAAAAACTTCGAAGAAGCTGCTGCAAACATAGTTGTAGATTTAATGCCAGAAGAATGCCGGAAAATTTTTAGCTTAGGGAGTACTCTGTCTGTACTCCCGCTTCTTAAGGTTTTAATTCGCTTAAAGTTCGTGCAAGAACTGTTTTTTTTATATGTACTGAATATGGTATATTATATTATTGTGACCGCCCCCCCCCCCTCCTGAAAGTATATATGCGGACGCTCCTGCTTAAGGTCATATTCCTTGAACTATAAGTGCCTTTGCCTTATACACTTTTGTGCAAAACTCTGAAGTTGAGCAAGTTATGATCACCTACAAATTTAACAGAATGTGTTGAGGGAAGCAAAGATAATGTTGAATAAAGTAATGTTATATTTCATAAATTAACAATCGTATAATTAGCACTCAAATTCAATTAGATTTCGTTTTCAAAATGTCCACCCGCAGCCTCACAGCATATTCTTGCTCTTCTTATAATTATTGGGAACATTGCAATCTGAAGAGTATCTGGATCGTATGGATGCAGCTGTAGTAATAATATTTCGAATTAGCTGACCTCTGACTTGGGATTTATTTGAATAAACTATACCTTTTCAACTTCAATTTCGGAATCGGTGAGTTATATTTCGGAAAGAGTAATCTCGATTTCAGAATTGGTTAGTTCGATTTCAGATATGGTAGACTCAATTTCAGAATAGGTGAGATGAATTTCAGGAAAAGTCCATTCAATTTCAGAAATGGTAAGTTGTATTTCAGAATTATTATTGGTAGGTTCAATTTCAGAAGATGAAATCCTTTTATATGTTTGAAATGTTTTTAATTGCAAAAGAGAATATTGTTTACAGTGGATGAACGGTGTTTGAGAGCCCTATGTTGAATCAGATTGAACATAAATATGGGGTGCCTTCAAGTCAGAAGTGAAGAGCTTCTTGCAAGAGCATCGCCAAAGGGTCATAGCTGGGGATCCGAACAGATTGCTCAACCAGATAGAATTCAGACTGCGATGTCTTGAAGAATGTGCAGATCATTCAATGAAAATGATAACACCTCAAATGTGTTTGCATTCTCATAATCATGTGCAACGCTATTATCTTTCAGCGATTCGGATGGAAGGCATCTGTGGATTAAATTGAGATTATAATTATGTTATTGAATTGTTTTTGACAAGTTGAATATTGTGAATATGGTTTGTTAATCTCACATACAATTGGAAACATTTCGAACAAATATAAGGATTTTTTTTCTGAAATTGAACCTACCAATTCTGAAATACAACTTACCATTTCTGAAATTGAATGGACTTTTTCTGAAATTCATCTCACCGATTCTGAAATTGAGTTTACCATTCCTGAAATCGAACTAACCAATTCTGAAATCGAGATTACTTTTTCCGAAATTGAAGTTGAAAAGGTATAGACTTACCATGTGTCTTCTGAGATAATAGTCGAGAGGCGTTAGGTCAGACCAAAGTGTTTGAGGCACTTTTGACTCGAAATTGTTCAAGGAAAACAATATGTTCTTGAGTTATGGGGATCGAGTCACGGAACACCCTGTGTATGATCAATTCTCTTTACAGGAAAGGTGGGAATTGCAATTGATACTTCATGGTATGAGCCATTCTCTTACAACAGTACTGCAGACATAGAAGCAGCGGAAACGAAGCAACAGTTCTCGGTAAGAACAAGCTCTCATGTTCATGCATAGAGAACCCATTATTAAGATTTTCAAACACTTGACTTTTTCCACTATGGGCATCGTCAAACAGTTTTACTAGCTAGTAATATGATAATTTTTATTAACACCAAAAATTCAAGGGGTGATTCCTTGTGATATTTCAGGAAATAAAGTTCATATAAACATGTGTCCTAACTTGCTTCGTTTACGAGGTACAGGGTATTGATATTTCCATGACAAATCTAATTTATATTCATTTCTCAGTTGTCTTTACATCAATTTTGATAAAACGTTTTGGTTTTGTTAATAGTCATATGGAGCTTCTTCTAGTGCAATTAGATTCGAAATGATATTTACAGTGGCTTCACAGTGGGAAAATTTATCGGTATTCATGGTGAATGTCATTGTACATCACCGGTTTTACTGAGTTTCATATTTTTATTAGATTGAACTATTGAAATAACAACTATTTTATCCTCTGTGTGATTTTTGTATCTAGCTCATTTTTTGAGGAAACAATAAAAATTCGATTTGACTCCAAATTTTAATGGAGGCATTATTTGATGCATTGTATTCACTAAATCATCCATTTTTATCTTATCTATCAATCTGGATACCAGAATTCGTGAAGAATAATGTACCTAAACTATTTTACTATTGTTATCCATTCCTCATTGAGTTAAGATTCTTCTGGAGGTGATTTCAACATCAGCAGCATTATTTATTCATCAGGGACAATGCAAGACTTCATGAGTAAATTATATTAGCCCCAAATATCAAGATTCATACACGGTTCTGATTTATTCGTAAATTGTCACGAAACTATAGGTCTTAATCCCATATATTAAGTGTATATTTTGTGTTAACTTGAAGAATACCACTATCGAAAGTATTAATTTTCATCCATTTGGTGTTTCTTCTGCATGGATATTTCAGAACCCCTCTGAATTACCACATCAGTTTTATTTTTCATCATGAAGGTGTGAATTGACACCACTGTACACGGTAATATGAAATTTGTAATAATCCTGATATAACATTGCTAATCAAGTGTTGATTCAATCGGAGTTGTTTCTGAAATCCATTCGATTTGAAAAATGTCTTACTCTGTATACCAGGAAACCCATACTTTCTGTTCCGCCCTGGAAGATATTGGTTTGCGAAATCAGAGCTTGAAACTCTTCAAAAGTTATTTATCCGATAGATTCCAGGTAGTAAAAATTGACGATGTTCTCAGTGATCGGGAAGTTATCGAATCTGGTGTGCCTCAGGGAAGTGTTTTAGGACCTCTATTGTTCAACATTTACATAAATGGTTTGTTCTCATTGCAAAGTAGTGGAGACATAATTGGATTTGCTGATGATACAGTGATCGGATTATACATGAATCCGAAAATTGGAAAATTCTCCAAGGTGAAGCACAAACAGACTTCTCTCGGATTATTTTATTATTTGAGTAGAAGTACAAAAAAAATTGACATCATGCTCGATTACCAACTCATCATAACTACATCACACGGCAGACACACCATCAAACGTTTCCACGAATGACCAAGTCCACTTGCTAGCGAACCTTTATCTACATTGCACCAAGGGCGCATAACCCACTTCCTGAAGAACTAAAATCAACAGCTTGCTGCAAGACTTTCAAATACAGATTAAAAAAATTTATACATGAAAATTCAAGTGCGTAGTGCAACGACATCAAAGAACTGAGAATCTGAAAAATGCTTCTTTACATACCCTTAATTCTAGAGTACCTACATACTTTGTTCATAAATACTTGATACATTGATTTTATTCTCGATTTCATTTTCATTTTTATTGCTATATGTTTGATATTTCATAAATATGTATCTCAAGTTCATTTTATTTTGCAATCTGTTGTTATTAAAGTTGTTCTTGACTCTGTTCTGTTTAACTGTTGAGATGCATCATCTTATTTTCTTATCTGAGTGTAGTAATAGAAATAAGTATTTATTTACTTATTGAGTATCTTTCATTCATTCATTTCAATTTTTAATTCGTTTCTATGGTCACTGTTTGTTCTGGAATGAATAAATATATTATTATTATTATTATAGTATGGATGGTACGCAAATCCGATTGTCCACGGCGACTACCCATGGGTGATGCAAGCAAAAATCGCCGTTAGAAGCGAGCAGGAAGGCTTCGGCAAATCACGCCTGCCAGAATTCACCCAGGAAGAGATAAAGTACATCAAGGGAACCTATGATTTTCTAGGCCTCAACACATACTCGACCAGCTTGATCAACGCTACCGACGATCCTGACCCATCGAAGGGTTGGGCCCAGGATGCCGAAGTCATCGAATGGCAGCCAGATGAATGGGAAGGAAGTTCGTCTAGTTGGCTGAAGGTAAAAAACATGAGACACAAATATATTTCACAAGAGATGGAATGCCATTTTTCTGAACCCCTTCATTCAACGAGTGCAAACATATTATGAAGGAGAATGCAAATTCTCTACTTCAGAAGATTTTGTTTTCAAATTCTTATCGTGTATGTTCAATAGATGTAATTCAATGTTCATATAGCATATAGCCAGGAAAGTAGTTTTTTTTTCTGTTGAAAAAACCGAGAAAAATTGATATTTTCATCACATATAGAGGATGCAAATTTTCAATGTATTTCTTTATATACAAGGCTATTTTGAAATAAGTACATATAATCAGCACATGGATATGATACAGTCAAACGAATATTCCCATGATATTAGATTTTTTCTGACTCTCTTGATTAACAAGAAATTTCATCCCGAAAATTGAATGGAAAACGAGAAAAAAATTGAGCATGCCACTTTAGAACAATTTAAATGATGATGATCTCTATATTTTTTTATTGGTGGTAGTCGATATAGTATACGTCGAACTTACTCAAGGCTCGATATATTTGCACTTATTTCAATGCCACCCTGTATATATCTATTTTTTATGTTTATAATTATATCTGAGAATATTCCTTTTCAAAACATATCATTATTTGAAACCCTAACAATGGCTCAACACCAAAGGCACATGAAGCTCATTTTGTAGTTATATCAGTATTATATCATTGAATGTATTTCCTTGAAATGAATATTGATGGCATTGAAGCTCTAAGAAACACTTGAAATGTCTTCTCGTCTTTGGGCAACACAAATATAAATGGTAACCATCATCATTCTTAGGATTCTTGCAATTCGTTATCGAACAAGACATATTCGAAAACATTTTCGCGGAGACGCCTATTCAATTTTCAGAACTGACGTTTTAAATCTGATAATCATGACAATTCGGAAATGTCAGTGATGACAAGCGTGTCCACGCTCTTTGAAGGGCGTGTAATGAGATTTTCGAGGCACTCTAGTTAAAGGTATCAGCAATTCGCGGTTTTCACGCTCATCATCTGAAGTTGTGATGACGTTATAACTGGGGGAAACATGTCTATCTTCCAATCTATGCTGAGAGTTACGGATGTTTTTTACCAGTTTTAACGTCATTGCCACGTGAGATGATGACCTTGAAAACGGCGATGCAAAGTAGTTGCTCTCGTCATCTGTGTCATTGTTGTTTATTTCAAAGGTTTATGAGTGGATTGCCTATCCCATTCTAGAAAGATATGGAGATGGAGATAATGAGCCCCAGTGATTGTCAAGTAAATCATGTATCTGTAAACTACAATCTGCCGCTATATTTCTTCACTTTGTATGCAATTGGAAGTTATCGTAAAAAAATAGCTTAATTCGATGAGATGAATTCACATAAATTAGCTGATATTTGTTGCGAGTATTAAATATAGAAGATAATTTATTACCATTATACATCAGTCAATAATTTTCTTGTCATACTAAATCAATCATCAGATTTGGATATTTGTGAGTCTTTCATAAACAGCTGACAACTTTCCTATTTTTTTCGAAATTGTCCAACTGTTTTGAATAGAAATTCACATAATAATCATTCTATTCACACAAGCTAAAAAACAATTCTGAACGTTGCAATCAATGCACACTGATAGCTCAAATGAGAATAACTCACTGAAGTGATATGTTGGTCAAGATGTTAAATGCACAGAACAGGTCCAACAGTTGCGTATACAAATTGATATTGGGTCGATATCGACCCTGTGGGCATTAATAGGTTTTAATCGTATCAAACACTTGAATGTTGATTGAAAATAAACAGTGATTTAAAGAAACAATGATTTTTAGGTAGTTCCTTGGGGAATGAGGAAAATCCTTAGGTGGCTGAAAGAAACCTATAATAATCCAAGGATCCTGATTACAGAGAACGGTTATTCGGACAATGGAACTTTAGCAGATGATAAAAGAATAAGTTACTACCAGGTATAATTATTCAGGCACTCAGATTTCCTGCAAATCACCATTTAAATCCACTTTTTCAGAGATATATGAGTAGCTTACGTGATGCGATGGAGTTAGATGGAGTCGATGTCATGGGATACTGTGCATGGAGTATGATGGATAACTTCGAATGGTTGGCTGGATACTCGTGAGTATATCTATAAAATTTGATTAATGGATTCAGATGAATAGATAATTGGAAATCAATATCATTTTAGGGAAAAATTTGGGCTTTATCACGTGGATTTCAACAGCCCCAACAGAGAGAGGACACCAAAGAAGTCAGCTATCTGGTATAAAAGAGTGGTCGAGACGAAATGCGTTGTAGATGATTGTGTCGACGCAAAATTATAGATCGATAACAAATCCACAACTGTTGCAATAATACATCATATTGGTACAGATCCTGGATTCAAATGTTTGAAAATTAGATCTCCACAAGTTGTATCGTTATTATGTGAATGAGTTGGATATGCAAAATGTTCAATTAAACTTTGCGACATATGAATAATTTCCAGAATTTTTGACATTCTCTATTGAAACACCATGTACATATTGAGAAATAAAGATATTATTCTTGAACAAGAGTTTTTTCATACGAAGTTTATAATACCCTAATGGTTTCTGGATAGAAAAAAACGTTGTTATATCTTTGATGATGCTGATAGTATTTTACGTAACGAGTCCGGAAAAACCTGTTTTTGGACGTGTTACGTACACTATATTTTCGGCAACCATGTAGAATGAACATCTCAATTTTTATTTGAATCAAATACTGAAAATTGATCGGAATACCCAAACCTACTAACAGCTACATTGGAAATTTCATATAGACATTCTCAAACTCACTATCACTGCTGCTCTCAATAGTTTATTGCGATAATTGCAACCAAACTTTCAAAAATCCGAATGTCAACCAATTTCATGTGAAATAGCTGTCAGCCTTTATTTCGCTGCTATGGTAATGCTCATCTTCATTCATCAAAACCATATCTACCAAGATTTTCATAGTTACAGTGACAACAACAATGTGACACTTTCTGGCCTAGTCCAGGAAGTATTTTCTTCCCGGACTAGGCCGGAAAATTGATGCTTACTTTCCGGACGGTTGCCGAAAAAAACACATATCTACGAACTATAACAATGGAGGCTAATTTATTGTGGTTGTTCACCAGATCGCGTTACTGAAGCGTGAGGGGTAGTCAGAATAAGACCGACAAACTCCGTATACGGATTCCTAACCTCATTTTGAGGTCAAAGAATCCTATGCATTCTTCCTGAGATACAGGGTGTTGAAAATACGAAAAAAAAAAAGAGTTTGATAATAATTCCTTCGGAAACCCTGTAGGAAAAAAAGTCGTACTTGATACACCATTTTAATTTTTTTTGAATACTATTCCAGAATAATCATCGTGATTACTTGGAGTTTTCAGTATTCGATTTCATTAACCAATGGCGTAGTTACGGTCGAAAGTCGCCACTTTTTCTTTCATATTTTTTCATTGATAGCTGAAATGTCAAGAACAACAGTATAATTATGTAGCAGAAAAGTAATACTTGTCCACCTTCCAACACCTTCGGTTCGTACCAGTAGTTTTAAACATAACTTTTTTGAGGTTAGATTCTCCAACCCAAATACGATGTGAACTCAAACATCATACAATTTCACACCAAAAAGGTACTCTTGGTAAAATTCGATAGTGTGTTCCGTTTTCGGAATATTTCGATTTGAAAATAATGGCTGATGCTCGTATAAAATGAATTTTTTTGAATACTGTCTGTAGGTTAATCGAGGAGGTGGTACATTCATTTTACTTGATTCGATTTTCTCCTCAAAGAATCAAGTAAAGAGAATTTTATTGAGATCAATTACTTGTTTACTTAGATTCAAAAACAATAACATCATTCTTGTGCTGTGGTTATTGATTGAACAAAGAATCACAAGTAGAAAATTGAGAAATGTTTGACTAGAAACATAAAATATTGAATCAGTTAGAGTAAGTGTTCAAAATGTCCTCCGTTTCCACGAATACACGATTCAATTTTTTTTTTTAAAAACGGTTGAGGATCAGCTGTAAGGTCATCTAAGTGATGTTCAATTCTGACTTGCAACTCCAGACGTGAATTTACTGTAGCATTCACTTTTTGCTTGATACAACAAAACTGTGTAATCCATGTTTTTAGTAAAATTTGTTTCAATGTGATTCTTGTGGATCATTGTTAAATCAATAAATTTAGCATTAAAAATGTATTGTTTTTTTTCGTTTTGCAATGAATAGGTGATGATATTTTATGATACTCACTCTAATACATACCTTTATACCAGCAATAGTTATCACTTCATCATTTTCAAATTGGAATATTTCGACAACGGAACACAGTATCGAGTTTCACCAAGAGTACCTTTTTGGTGTGAAATTGAATGATGTTCAAGTTCACATCGAATTCGGATTGGAAAATCTAATCTCAAAAAAGTTATGTTTAAAACTAATAGGTAAGAACCGTGTAACTAGCGCCACTATGAGAGTCAGACAGAAACACAAATTCATGTCATGTGTCAGATTTCAAAAAGCATTCATATAAAATTTCATTACAATATTGCCAGTAGTTTCGACAAAATCGTAAAAAATGTGAAGAAAAATCATTTTTTCAAACCTTGTATCTTGAAAACGGATGCCGTTACGACATTTTTTTACCAAGCAAGTCCAACTCATTTTGTAGTGTTCTACCTACCCTAGCAAGGGGGTCAGGTTTTTTTGAAACACCCTGTATATACAGGGTGTATCTGAATAACACCGAAATAATTCGAGGGGTGTATGATATTCTAGCAAATGAAGTTCATATGAACATGTGTCCGAACTTGCTCCGTCTTTGAGATACAGGATGTTGAAGTTGGAAGTATTGATTGTTTTCATTTATAACCCCCCTTTGATGGTGCCAGAATTCAGCATGGATGGAGACTGAGGAAGCCCCAAAATTCTAAAATGATTCTAATTGGGGTTATTAAGTAATCTCAATGGAAGTTCTGAAAACACCTAGGTACCTACATTAAAATTTGTAGTCCATTCGAATTTTTATTGTTTCCTCAAAAACTAAGCTAGATACAAGAATCAAACAGTGGCTAAAAAAGTTGTTATTTCAATAGTTCAATCTGATAAAAATATGAAACTCAGAAAACCAGTGGCGTTCAATGACATTCACCATGAATATCGATAAATTTACTCACTGTGACGCTACTGGAAATATTATTTCGAATCTAGTTGCACTAGCAGACATTCCATATTACTATCAACAAAACCACAACGTTTTATTGAATGAATTGAAAAAATATTCTACATGGAAATATTAATACCCTGTATCTCGAAAACGAAGCAAGTTGGAACACATGTTTATATGAACTTTATATCCTAAAATATCAGAAGGAATCATCCCTTCAATTTGTTCGTCACCTAAGCCTAGCTTGTAGGTATTGTGCATAGTCTATGAATTGATTATTACTTTAATCAACATCTGACAATATGTTTACAATAAACTGACCAATAAAAACAATGTTCAAATATTCTGGAAAATATTTCTCAGCAATTGAGGAAAAAAGGACACTCAGTCAAAAATTCTTCTAAATGAATCATATATCTCATCTATGTATTTTTTATCTCTTTTTTCAACTTGTATTCATTTTTTATATTTTTAAAATATATCGGTAGGATGTTCACTAATTTTGGTCCATAGTAGGATATGAATTTCTGTGTATAGCCTTTAGAATATAAAGGAATCCGTATGGCCAGATTGGCAGTAGGTCTAGTATTTTATATGTATGTGTGTTGAAAGTTATCATAATATTGTTGTAAAAATCACCCTTTATGTGAATATGTTCTCGGACTGCTATATACGTTCAACTTTCATTGATATAAATTTTGGCGCCTGTCATTGGGTGCTGTACAAATTTTATTTTTTATATGTTCTGGTTCCCACGAAAAGGGATATCCCGTAATGTTCAGAGAACATCGTGTGAACCAAAGGAAATAAGGTAGGAATTGGTGTTCTTCTCAAATTTCTGGAGGTTATATGCCTCGGGGAACACCTCCCTTGGCAATGTGTTCCAGAGCCTCGCTGTTCGTTGGGTGAACGAGTCTTTGAAAAGAGATGTTCTCCAAAGTAACCACGAAGGGGTGGGAGGCCTCAACTCGACGGGTCAATCTCGCGGGGACTGCCAAGGAAGGAACAATTGTTGATATTTCAGAAGAGCATCGTCCATGAAAATATCTATAAAATAGAGCCAGATCGACAACTCTTCTACGGTGTTCCAGAAAAGTGAGTGAGTTTGTGAGCGAGGCATCACCCACTGGTTACAAACTATGAAACGTATTGAAAACTGTAGACTTTCAGCTGCTTGACACTAACCCAACCTATCAACGAATCCCAGCAGATATAATGCTTGTATAAAAATGTGAATATTTCTTGCGAAAGTTCGCCCTTCAGGAGATTCGTTGATGGATTAGGTTATTGGCAAGCAGAAGGTCTACTATTGAACACTTTTTATCAGTTTTCCGAATGGAATTCAAATATCTGACATTTTTTATCAATCATTATTTTATCTTATATTTCTACACCCGCATCAGTCAAAGACATGTCAAACTTTATATCAATGTGAAACAGCTAACCGAAAACATATTTAGTTACAGGGTGAACCGTTTGAAAAACCTGCTGAATGTGCCATATTTACAACAATAATGATACTTATTATAGGTACCAAAAATCGAAAGTGACCATTGGGTTGAAAATAAAACAAAGTCTTGATAGAAAACTCCTGGTCTATATTATGCCCAACCCTGTATAAAACGGCCTCAATAAAAGCTATACTTTCTGTTACATAACTTTATGTATATCTAGTGAAAAAGAATCTTCGAAGATTTTTCACATGATGGCGATATGAGTTGAGATCAATGTGCATTGTGCAGTGTAACAAATTATAACCATATTATAATATCAATTGAACCGATACAGATAAACAAGACTTACTCTAATAGAAGTTCTTATCAATCTTGATACATCATTTCAAGTAGGTACCTATATGAGTATAAAAACAGCTAAGAATCAGAAGTTCATGACTGATAGAACAATGACGTCCTCTAGTGCAGTTTTGACCCTTTTATTGACCTGCTATTGTTCTGGAAATACGTGAGTACCATTTTCATTGAATTCGATTAAGTGAAGTATAGTGAGGGAGTTTCCATAATCAATACAATTTTGTAAATAACAATGCAAGTCGAAACGAAAATATTAAAAACTTCTCAGAATATTTCCACAAATCAATTGTTACTGAAAAAATTGAGGTTATTCCATTAATGTTAAAATTGTTGTAATGTAGGGTAAGGCATGAAGTGAAACCGATAAAACTTTTTGTATCACGATTCTTTACTCAATTTTGAAACAAAGGTTTCCGAATGTAGAAGTTTATGGTTTCTACAGGGTCTCTATAAATGATCGTAGAATCGTAGTGACCGTTGAAATAATTTATTGATTTGCTGCTCTCAACTTATGGAGATCAAACTATAACTACAGTCGATCGCTTCAATGCCTGG